AATAATGACAGACAGCAGCAGGTAAATAAGGCTGCTGTCCCTTTAAGACCGACTGAACGGATTCAATATACTGAAACGCATCCGGTTTTCACCCAACTGTTTTACATTTATTTAACATATAACCGACTGTGTTTACTTGAACACTCCACACGACGGGCATTATGACCTTACTGTGTTCGTATTAGACCAGTCAAGCACAATATAACATGAAAGAGATCTGTTTTCGCAATCGCATGCTGTCGAGAGAGGGGCTTTTCAGTGCGCGCGCTTCGGCTGTGCGTCAGTCAGCGCGAACACCGCATTGAGTTCCTTTTCACTGCTTATTGCACGTAATAACTCTACCAAGTGTGTCCCACTCTTTATTTTCTCATTCATGCATGTTTCCTTAGCACTCAAAGGTGTATAACGTTTAAGCAGTACTGTGTTACGCAGATATATTTGTATACCGCGGAATACACGATATAGCAAAATCTCTAACAATAGACACTTTATTTCGCGGTAACGATATATACCATCATACCGCCCAGCCCTAGTGTTAATTAGCTTCATGAATCTTTATGAACGAAACAGCGCAGAAGGGATATGGAAGCTCATCATCGGAAGAGACAGGGCGGGTTATGAATGCGTAATATGACATATGAGCAGCAAATCTGCTTCATCTGAGTCAGAAGCATTCTATTTTTGATAGAATTGTGAGTGACCTAAAGAATCAAGATGATATGTATATACACACATATACACACACAACAGTGTGGGGTCGGTAAAATTTTATGAAAGAAGTGTCTTAGGCTCATCAAGTCTGCATTTTTTGATCAAGAATACAGTAAAAACAAATACTGTAAAAAAATATTATAATTTTAAATAACCTATCTATTTTATATTTTCATTTATTAATTTGTTTTTTAGCAATGTAACTGATTCCTGTGACTGCAAAGCGGAAATTTCAGCAGCCATAACTCCAGTCTTCAGTGTCACATGATTCTTCAGAAATCATTCTAATATGCTGATTTGGTGATCAAGAAACATTTCTTATCGTCAATGTTGAAAACAGTTGCTGCTTAAACAGTGCTGCTTAAAATTTTTGTGGAAACTGATTTTTTTTTTCAGGATTCTTTAATGAAAAAAAAAAGTTCAAAAAACATTTTTCTGAAATATAAATCTTTTTTTAACATTGTAAAAGACTACAGTCATGTTTGATCAATTTAATGCATCACTACTGAATAAAAGTATAAAAAAAATCTTACTGACAGCAACTTTCGAACAGTACCGTTTTTTTTTTTCATTTGTACACACACACACACACACACACACACCTGCACAGCTTAGGATTGCTTGCAACCTGTATTGGCCTTGATACCACTTGATAATTGTTTTTGTTCAGAACAAGTCAGGACAAATGGAGAAACCTGGGCAGTTAGCGGACACACCTTGCATTCATACAACAACTCTTTCATTCTTCATAAAGACCAGCAGAACAACTTAGATGAGATGAGCAAACTATTCACAGGGCAAAATTAAAGCACAGCTGCAAGGCAGCAGACCACTGCAGGAAATCTAAAAATATTTCATGTAGGAGAGAAAAATTATTCTTACAGAAGCACATCTGACAGGACAAAAGCCGCCCCCTCACACACACACACACACACACACACTCGCATACATGCATCAATCTGCCAGTTTTTCCCTCATTCTAATGCAGCCTTCAATTTCCTCTTAATGTACGCAAAGCTGAGTGCATGTTGTGTGTGGGCAATCAGACACTGGAAACCCGAATGAGTAGATGTAGATACAACAGGAACGACGGGGGGGGGGAGAACTAAACCTACTGTCCTTGTCTCTGGCTCTGTCAAGGTTTTCATTAACATGTGAAACTCATTTCTGTATTCACCTGACAGTGCAGCCCCTACCGATCACCCACAAACCCCTGTGCAATAACCTAACTGATCAACACACAGAGGGAGACAGCTGGATACACTAAAAAAGAAATTCCATGACATTCCACGTTATTCAGTAAATTCAATTTTTACGAATGGATTAGGAGGGGTTTAGAGAGACTGAATCTTAGAACTGCTTCGAACGAATAGTTTGAGAATCATTGGAAAATTAGGTGATATTAAATCAGTGTTTTCCATACATTGATTTATTTGTGGCGGCCCGCCACAATATCAACAACAGTGACCGCCACAAATATATTTTCCAAAATGCTTTGACTTCGTTGAAAAACATGATCTCTGCAAGTTTCAAAGTCAAAACGCGGCACGGGTGTTTTTATATGAATGTCTTTTTGAATGGAAATGACTGTCTTTGAAAAGTTTCGGTGTCATTTTCATTTTATCTTTCCTATAATCCCTGATAAGGTAGTGCTTATGAGCGGAGCGCTGCTTTATTTACAGCCGTT